ATATTTATAAAAGATAACAAAAATAAATATATATATATTATTTTAGAATAAAATTATGTTAATAAATATATATAAATAACTTTTATAATATGTGCTAACTATTAATGTAAAAGTAACATATTTTCTTACAGATTAAGACTAATACTAAGTTTAATTCTCATAAAGGATAACAAATAAAACTATTTTAGTGACATTATAATTTCAGACATTTATTTCTTAAAACATAATATTTATTTCTTTCTTATATAGTGTATACCCTGACCTAATAACTTTTCAGCTAACTGACACATTATTTAATACACTTTTTATAAGATTAATAAGTATTTTAAATCAAAATTGTGTTGTGCTAGTCATTTATTAGTTAGTTTTAAACACAATGTTATAATACGATTCTATATAATATGCAACCTTACTTCTGCAACTATTTTAGCTCCCCATAAAATTTAAAATTTAGATTTAATTAAAGTATTGACTAAAGTGATTCATTTTGTGCATCATGTTATGACAAAGGCCCATAGCTTAAGTATTCGTTCCAGAACAAGGAAGAAATTGAAGCTAGACCTTAAATCAATAACATTTGTAAGACCGAATTCATTAAATATGGGACGAATTGTTTATAGTAATAATAAATAAATTATTTAAATATTTATTATTTTGCAATCAATATATTAATATTGCTTTTATTTTTATTTCTCATATTTAGTAAAACATTAAAATCATTACTGTAAATAACAGTTGCTGGTTATAAAGTAGTAAATAAATTTATCCTACTAACACTAAGTTTGAACATTTATCCATTAAAGAAATTAAAGCTACCCCGGTCTTGTTATTGCTTAATCCTATAGTCAACAATATCTTTTCTTCTAAGAACTAGTGTAGCCGCCTATCGCGATCCTATTTCTCCTATCTCGCTGGCCAAGGAATATTCCGTATGTCTGATTGCTGACTAAACACTTGCACATTACACATAGGACAATTGTCCTGCACGAACGTTATCACTAGCACATCTTCATGACGTCTTTCAGCACATCCATGTAGTTTTCACTGTTTGCACCACTGAAGATGACAATGCTCCAGTAATTTTCCTCATAACCTTGCCCCATAAGTTGAAGCTGGTCTGAGTCAATCTCAGAATACAGAATTGTTCTGTATTCTGAGGAGTCAATATCACGTCTTCTGCCAGATCCACTACGGTGCTCCAATGAATCCTCTTCTTAAAACAGCTTTAGATATCCATAACGTGGCAGTCTTTACCTGTAAGGGACGTGTATTATTTATTATTTTCGTGTATCGATAACCATGGATAATAAAATAAATAACGAACGGTCATTTTAAAAGAATACTTACGTTTAAGCCAGTTTCTCTCGAAATTTCAGTATAATTTAAGCTTTGATTATGCAATGCTATTATTTGGGCCCTCGTAGCCATATCAATATTTGAACGCAAACTCATAATAAAAATAAATATTAAAAACTTGTTAAACAAATCGTAACTGAACTCACGCAAAGATAGTAAAGAATGTTATGATTGAACAAAAAGGTTTAATTTTTATACATTTAATATTAAATTACCCTCAACTGTTTTGAGATTTATGATCGGGTTATAGTTGCTAAACAACTTCAATACTATAATAAATAGTAGGATAATTTCAATCGATTTCAAGGTTACGCAATGGCCTAATGGCTAGTGGTATCGGTAAATTTTATGCTACCGAGTTCGAATCCTGGTTATTGCGTACTTTGCTTTAAAAAGGTTTGAAATATCGTTGCATTAATTTGTGTAAAAAATTATTAAGTTAATAACTTTGTATCTGATAAAAACTATAAATGTATATTTTTCAATACCACTAGTATACTAGCGCCATCTATGTCATCCATTGTATATTATTAAGGCGATGAAACGCCGTACAAACGATTTTGATTTGGAATCCTCCATGCACTTATGACACTGATAGTACATGGCGTCGGGAATAAATGCCAATTAGGATCACCCATACGAAAATTAACCAACTAACCTAATTGGGTTGGAACGATCCTTTGATCGTAAAATAACACCGAACATATCTATTATTTCGACAGACAGACAGAAATAGGAACGGGAAAACACTCCAGCATATTATAAGCATTGATTTATTGATTTTTCATGAATTAACGTATGTTGAGATTGATATGCACTAGTACTGATTATGTTATACCTAAGTAACTTAAGAGTCGAGAATTGATTTTTCAATAGAATACGTTTTTAACATTTGAAGTGAGTTAAGATTAATTTGGACATGGTTCCGTCTGTGTGAATGTGCGTAGCTGGACTGCGGCGAATTAAAACATTTTTATGTATCTTTGCCGCCGTATCTCCGCGTTTGCTTCGCGAAGGACGGCGCGGCACAAGACTTAAGGCGTATAATAGTACCCTCAATAACCTCGAGCATGCTAACGCACGACTGGCGCGGGCTGCGTTCACCAAAAAAAAAGTCAAAAGTCAAAAATCATTTATTTCAATTAGACCACAGTAGGCACTTTTGAACGTCAAGCGAGCAAAATAGGAAAAAAGTATATAACATGAGCTTTAAAATTAAGCGTGTCAGTCTGTCCGTCTGTCCTCTAGTGAAGCTATTTGCTCGTTCCAAATTGTAGATTCCTATGGAGAAGAACGAGCAAGAAACTCCATGGTTACTCTTTTTCAATCAGTTTTACAATACATTTCTTTGTTACATTACCCGCTTTTTATATCTGGAAATCCCAATAATTCCACTAATATAACATGTGCTTTCTAAAATATTGACTGATTCACATGAGTGCTACCCACTTTGTAGTAAAATTTAAAACCGATTGATCTATTAAAAAAATATTTAAATAAACCAAGCCATTTAGAAGGAATAGGCATTTATTTGAACAAGATAGAGTGTTGGTAAATATTTTTTTACAGCTTAACTATTTGTCATAAAAAAATCAAATTTACTCAAATTGTAGTACATATTTTTTTTCAATCTTTACACCCAACCGTTAATGACGGATAGGCTTTAGAATGTAAAGTTGTACGGCTAAAAAGGCGCATAGGCCCTTAATGTGTTTAAATTTTGCATCAAATTCAGATGATTTCTTAACTACTATGTGTAGTAACACAAGATTATATTTAAAATTTGGAAGAAAAATACAGTCGTACACCTTTACTTTAATGTGATAAAAACATTGAGTTGTACTTTGTAGTTCTTAGAAATCAAAATGGATATATTAAAGCCATACCATGAGTGGACCAAGATAAATAAATATCTGTCTAACAACATTATTCAGTTTACTGAACATAAGCACTGAATGTTTAATAAATATCTAGAATCTACATCAGCTAGTAGTTCATATATTCCACATGTATTTTATACGTAAATGCTTGTTTGCGAACTTTCTGCGCGTGGATAATTTGTACCTATTTGAGTTTGTTACATATACCCTGTATATATGTACAAACATAATACTTACATTATGTATGTAGTATATTTATATAGTAGGTACTAGTTTCTGCCAGCTAATTTAACTTAGTCAGTCAAATAAAAAGTAGTCCTGTAAGACTATAATCTCTCATATATTTTTATGTGAGGGGAAAATCATCAAGTAACTTTTCCCGACCAGGGTCGGGCGTGAGGGAGTCACAGATTCTTACTGAGTAAAAACTTCCCCGTTTCTTTTCCGGCTCTAGGCCGTGCCCGCAGTGTCTCATTGCGCTTACCCTTAATAAATACGTATAGAAAATCCTAACGTATGTACAAATGAGGTCGCTAGTTATTATAAAAAGTTCTGATTTCATAATATTTTTATTAAACATTCATAAACCCACAAACTAAAATCAGCTACCATGAAATAGGTAGCATAGAGTCCATAAGGTAAATGAAAGCTTTCAGCTCCTTTGTACAGGCCGGAGACAAATAGTAGGCAATAGTCACGGACTATCGACGATCACTGGACGGAAACGACACGACACTAGTGTGACGTCATAACACTATGAAACGCCTTTCACAAATCATCAATGTATTTTATTATATATTATGCAGAAATAAATTGTGGCTGTTTATTGTTAGGAATAATATATGTATTTATCTTTCTGCTATTGAAAATTTGGTCCATCATTTCATAAATCTATTTAAAAGATATCATGTTGTACGGTAGAGCGTAAAATGAAGTTCGCGTTAAGTGAGTTCTTGAGAACACTTCTAACGAACGATAACGAACTTTAAGGGCCTAATTTATGTAACCTTAAACGTCATCGTGTATCTGCAGAAAAAAAAACGCATTTTTTAATGGCTTTATTCTTCTGTTTTTGGCGAAAGTAAATAAATATTATCACAATTTGAAAATCGAACGGTCAATAATTGTTCAATCAATCCCAGTAGGTAGGAAAAATAGGTACAAGGCAATTCACAATTAACATTTTTTAAATGTATGTGTCATAGTAAAAACATGCAACGTACATTTTCAATGTAATGTTTGAAATGAGTAGCCAGCGATGGTGGGTACGTGACGTCGAATATTTGTATTCTCTGTAGTCTGCGCTCAACACAAATCGTAATGCGTTTGCTCGATTTAGAAGCACGAAACTTATGTCACTGTACCATAGGAGTTGGTTGTAACATGTACAGGAAAATAAACTTTCGATACAAGAGCTTTCAATCTAAAATTGTGTAAACTTTATGCTAGGGTAAGTGTGCAAGTTTTATAAAAAAACATATGTATATAAGTATTATTAAATTCAAGTAATTAATGGAATATATTAAATGGAATTTTTTGATAAGATGAACGGCAAACTGTTAAATGCTTAAATTAATTTTAAACTTTAAAACTTAAATTAATTTGCATTACAAGTGCATACCCAACCTTTTAATCCGCACGGCAACAAACATATTGTTTGATTTAAAATATTGTATAAAACAGAAAATTATAGAGAATTTCTTTAAATTATTTTCAGTACGAAGTTTCGTGTTTCTGTCATTTTAACAATACATCGTTACTTACTTGGCACTGTTGTGGGCCCTGTCGGTTGGGCGAGGCTGGTTTAGGTCGGACCTTTTTGGTGAGCGGCCGATCCAGTCCGGTGACGGCTACTGACACCGTCGTCACCCCGCTCAGCAGTGATGAAGATGATGATGTGCATTCTGAAACAAAACAATATCTTATTTGGTCAAAGTCCAATTATTTATTTCAGTTATAACACTATATATAGGTTTATAAAGCAGCTTGGAATTTCGGATCATTCTAAGTTTTTTTTTCATATTTAGAGTTAAGGCCAAAATATGGTTTTGAGCGACAGCCTGAATTGCTCTTTTCCACCTCGGAATCGGCATTCCAAATATCAGAAATGAAAAAACTCACAACAACATATTCGAAAATTAAATTTAAATTATAAATAAAACCGAATTAAATACCGGTCTTGTAATACAATATCAAGTTGCCCCACAAAACCACAATTCGATCGAACCCCAATAATATGTATGTCCAATGCTTGTCTCTCTATGAACCAGTACCGGAATAACGTGGAAATTAATATTGCGTTTGATAAATAACTTGATCAGTTATTGCGGAATACAAATATGGCGGATATTTTGTTATTATGAAACGCTTTAAACAAAATATTTCATTTCATCCGACTGTGGTTGAGTTTGAACAAATACAATGGCGGAATTCAAAGTTCGAAATGCGCTTTGGTCTGTTATTTTAGTTTGCAAGTTTATTATGATTAATTTTGTTTTGCGCTGTAAATGATAATTAAATATTGATGATTTATGGCCTTTGTAATATTCGTTTTATAGTACGGACTTTGTTGTTTACTAGTAGTAAACAACAAAGTCCATACTACTACTACTACATAAGTAAAAAATTGATGTCTCGTGTAAGTACATGTATCGTATAGCCGCCTAGATAAAAGAGTGACTAGAATAATCAATCTAAGTACCTATGGGATTGACAATATTTATTATACGAAATACTGTATCACAAGCCACTTGTTTGATGTCATTTAAATTGTTCGCCTAGTTAGTAAGTGCTTAAAATAATTTAATTATGTAAAATATTAATTTGTATAATGTAGCTACAATACAATTTATTATTGAAGTTTATAGTTGATTTAATAAATTGTCTTGACGCAGAAGGAAAAGGAGATCTGACCATCCAATTAGGAATTGAGGAAGATGCAAAGAATTATTGTTTTAGACAAAAATCATGAAAGTTCACTAAATTTATATAGGAAGTTTAAACTACCGATTTCATGTACCAGGCAAACAGGATTTGGGAGAGATATTTATTTGATCTAAACCCCGTTCTTGCCCGCTATCCACCCGCAAGCCCGCTTCCAAGTTGTATTCTACTCTGATCCGATGGAAAAATCTTATAAAAATGACCTATTTAAAAATATTATTTTGCGTTAATACACACAATTAAGTAAAACGATGTAAGTAATGTACTAGGGCTGTAGAATGTTTCATTAATAAACATTTGACTGTTAGTATTGAATCAATATTATCTGATGAGTTTGAATTTGGCAGAGAGACTTATTTATTTCTATCAATTTCAATAGCGACTAGTTTGTGATTACTCAGTATTCTTCATGGTATAGAACAGCAAACGAGCAGACTGACCTCCTGATGGTAAGTCATTGACGCATATGGACAAAACAGAGTTATAAGTACGGTAACAGTTGGTTTGAATTATGGCAATTTCAATAGACCTGACTGAGACTGAAAAGGCTGTAAAAATAGATCCCAAATTGAATTCAAGTACAGAAAAAAGAAACGTACATTTTTAATGTTTGTACTGAATGGATCAGAGTGGAACACACCGCTCCGAATCGTTCGTAATTCCAGTTCGCTCCTAATTTTCACGGTTCGATATTAATTTAGCTCGAGCCGAAGGCAAACAAGAGCACCAAAGTGTACGGCGGCCAAAATTCAGAGTTATTTCTCCTTTTTCACATCGGGGAAAAACTGTTGAATTAGGAGAAAGTAAAGATTGTTTGGGCAAAGGATCAATTTTGTGAAACTCGACGTATTAGCTGTTCGAGAATAGTCTAATTTCGTTTCATTTTTTTGTTCCTTACACGTACACGTGCACTTAGATTTGTTTACGATTTCACGGCCATTTATTTTCAATTGTATTTGGTTAAAGATCACTTAGCTTTGCGAGGCACTTATTTTTCTTTTTTTTGGAATGTTACAAAATTCTTATAGACATTACCTGAATATTAATTGTTAGAACAATTATTAGATAAGTAAGTAATATCTTGTTTTAGTAGAAGAATGACAGTCGATTGCTTTGTTTAGTCGATTAGTTGCTAGCTATGGACAGAACTACGTTACTCGATATTTTAGATTCAGATAGCCTTGTTGTTTTACTTGACAAGCTTGCGTCTGCAACAAGAATTCATGGATTTAGTATTCGATTTGAATATCCCATAATTGTCTGTTCTATTCATACGAGGTATGGATTTTCGCCCAATGTTTGTTATTTAAATGTTGTTCTTGTGTTCAAAATGACTAAGAAGTTGGTCTACTGTATTTTAAGTTTTTTTCTACTATATTATAAAGAACGATTTGATTGTTTGTTATTAACTGGCTGACTCCAGAACTACTTGACTGATTTGGAAAGTTCATAGACTTTACACAACACTTTCCCCAGAAAACAAATGCTAGAAAGTCAGGTATAATAACATAAATGTATGTGAGATTTTCTATTATGCCGCTAATAAATTTACCTGAAAGAGCAATAAATTATAAATACTGTTAGCAAAGATTTTCGCGGTTGTACAGTTATTGGCAGATAAATATTTGGGCTGAGCTTTGTTTCGCAAACAGACATTCGAATTGATCACAAACACTCGTATTAAATGCCTCGAACCTTTGTAGTAACGCTCAAATAACTTTATTAAATTAATTGGTTCCCTAATTGGATATTACTCGTAAATTATATTGTAGCGACTTCCTCGTTGACTAACAAAGCTAACGGATCACTCGGCTTCGAACGCAATCGTGTTCACAGATGAACTAACTGTATAATTACCACTATTGTCTTTGTGTGGATACAGGTGATGCTTTGCGCGAGATAGAGCGTGCGACAATGCGGCTCAGCGAACATGAGACGTGGCTCACAGTCTCATCTCCTGCGTCAGGCATATTGTGGCACAGGAGGCCTCGCCGGATCGCTATCGTACAATAACGTGAAGCGAGCGCATAGCCTCTCAAACGAGACGGGCTCATTCAGATCCGTATTGATTCTGCCGCTTTGCCCTCTGATGGGATGTTCTTTGTCACTAGACGGGCGCCATTACTTTGTTTATGTTTGCAGCCGCATATCCGTCTCGGGCGACCGATGCCCACTAATGGAACCGAAGAAAAATGATTCCCGATCTTTTTGAGGAGAACCTGTGCGGAAAGATATATAAGTAACAAAGTGGTCGCTTTTCAGCGAGCCATGTGATGAATTGGTAATGTCGTTGAAGAAAAAAGACGTTGTTCGTTCCACTCAGGGATAAGTTGCTCTCGGCCGATTTAATTATGTTAGCTTTTATGCCTGCGCAATCGTTTCGTTTTTTCGCTCGTTTTATATTTGACGGTAAAGTACGTCTCTAGTACTCATTTACCTTCATTATTTTGTTTATTTGTAAAGCATACAGTATATACTATATACTATACCGAACATTTTATCTTTGCTGTTATGAAATACATGTTTTAATTGTAGTAGAGTACTTTTATGAATGAGGAGTACTCATAGAACTCCACATATTAAATTAATAAGTATAAATAGCTAATATATTTCTTTTAATCTGATAAATGTATTAGAATAACGCCAATGCTCTGAGAGGCCGCGAGATGAAATACGTGCAGCCGATGCCTAGTAAAGAGATAGGCCTCCATGAAAGTTGTATGTACAACGCCTTACAGCACACGTAGGAATGCCTACATTATGTAAATGAGGGCTGGCCTCCTCTAGCACAGCCTATACATGAATTAAAATGTAATTTGTAAAATTATTCAGAGGACTTCCATTACGAACGGACGTTCAGGGAATTGAGAATGTTCATTAGATATTTGCCAATTTTTAAGGAGAGGCATGTAGAGGCACAACTTACATATAGTATAAAAACTGATCTAACTGTCTACAGTAAAATAAATGATCTGAACGTACTAAAATTATAGTACAAATATCGAGTAAAAGACAAATATTTATTTTTTATTAATAAAATGTAAATATTTTATATAAATCTAAGTAATGTTTCGTAGAAGCTTCGTCGTGTTCGTATTTTCCTGTTTCTCCTTCAATTTATCTTTTCTGAAAATATTTTACGAATATTTGAAGGTCATTTCCTGGAATTATGTTTTACAAGGTGGCAGACAAAGATAAATTTTATTGTTGCCATGCTTGACGAAACAGCGTGGGCATTGACAAATTTTGCAAATAGAATTAATGCAAAAAATTGAAATTAAATTTATCGTATTATTTGATGAAATATTAGTTATGAGGACTTAATACTGTAGAAGTTCATTGACATAAAGTGAAGTTGGATTTATGTTTATAGGCGAAATAATTTACAGCCTAAATATCTAATTTAAAAAAATTATTTTTGCTCCAAACTAGGATTTTCTAACGTTTTGTGGGTGCAAACATACAAATTCACATCCAGACCCGGAAGAATATGCCATCTCACAAAGACAGGTTTCGTAAGAGAATCGAGTCCGCGACGCTTTGTGCAACAGCCAGTTGCTCAGCCACTGCACAACCATGCAGTCATCTTATGAACTAATGCAATAGTGGAATCATTGATCTGCATTATTTGATAGATTTTATTACTCGTGAGCTTTTATTATTATAAGGATTTTAGGTAAACTTAACATAAAAAAGTCATAGACAATTTAAAACTTTTTCTGTTCAATAAAAACTGAAAATCCCGTTCCTATAAATACCCTTTTCTAAAATTTAAAAATATATGTTATCTTAGCATATCATTTCAAGGAAACAAGCTTGCATATATGAAACGATATTAAACTGTTTTAGTCCAATAGCTGAAGATATTTTTCTAAGGGATGCTTTTAGTAGCGTTACTACGTACAGGCGATAGCATGTCCGCTTTCTTTGTTACATCTTCAACCATATTGTCTTGGTATAA